CAGGGTCTCACTGTGTAGTTCAAGCCAATCTTGAGCTCACTGTTTAGCCCTGGCTGGCCTCGAACTCACAGCAATCCTCCTGCCTTGGCCTCCCAAATGCTGGGATTACAGGCATGCACCACCACACCCAGCTCGAAGGCATAGCACTTCTTTTTGAGTGTCACCTATAAAGGGGAGGTGGCTTAGGTGATAAGTGAAAAAGCAGAGAGGGCACACCTCACCTGTTCTTGCTGCAAGTGGCCCATAGTTAACATGGGAACATAGGCTTAAGTTTTTTGAAGATGCTAGAATAGGTTGACTCTCCCATCTTAAATACTGCTGATTCAGAAAAATGTTTAAAAATATGAGTGCCAGTTAAGCAGAATACCACACATAAGCTAAATTTGGCCCAGACCTACAATCTTGCCTCTTGAGTGTTGTAGTAATTCTTGTGTGCTCCCTGTGATGTCTCTTAAGAAGCAGGTAGGGCTGGAACCAGCTGTGTGTCCTGTCACGGCGGCCAGGTTAAGGGAATCCGAGCTCCAGAGTGGGATGCTGCCCAGCCACAGAGGTGAGCAGCTCCTCCAGGATGCAGGTGAGAAAAGCTAAGGCAGAACAGGTGTCTGATCTGCTAACTATGATACTGCAAAGGTCCCCAGGACAGAAACGTCAGGGTTGGACACAGGCTGAAAGGGGAGATAGTAAACTTTGAACTGTGAACCATACGAACATGTTGCATATTTTAAAATACAAATTTTAAAAGGATTTGTAGAATTCCCTGGTGGGTGCTATTTGGTGTGGTTGCCTGGCTTACAATTTCTCTATTGAAACATCCCTGACTAGCAGGATGGGTGCTAGGCCCGAGCCAGTCAGTTCTTTTTCATTCTTTCTAGTACTGGAAATTGAACTCCGGCCCTTTACACTGAGCTAAGTCCCTGGTCCTTTTTATTTATTTGTTTGTTTGTTATTTTGAGACAGGAATTCACTAAGTCTCTAAGTTGCTCACCCTGGGCTGGAACTTTCAATCCTCCTGCCTCAGTCTCCTAGAGTGCTGGGATCACAGTGTGCGCTACCATACTTGGCTCTGTTCTTCCTCCTGGGTAGAGCCTGGCGGGCTGTGCTGGTTTGCCTCACAGCAGTGGAGGGAAGTTCCCATGCTCTGGAGGACGAAGGACCGGAGTAATCTCACCCTTCCTGAGGCCTGCTGGCTCACTTCTTGGATTTGACAGTATTGTCTTTCAAAAACCCCCTTTGGGGCTGGGTGTGGTGGCACAGGCCTGTAATCCCAGCACTCGGGGAAGCTGAGGCAGGAGGATCACTGTGAGTTCAAGACCAGCCTGGGTTACATAGTGAGTTCCAGTTCGGTCTCAACTACATAGTGAGACCCTGTCTCAAAAAACCAAAACAAAAAACCCCTTTGGGCTTAACCTAGATAGTCAGGTTCTGCCATTTGAAGCTAGAACTTCCCAGAGCAGCAAGTGGTAGTGAGAGCTGCCTGGAACCTATGGTGGGCCTCTGTGGGAAGCCTCCATGGAGCAGGTAGCCCAGCAGTCCAGGCTTGCAACTCCTCTTCAGCCAGGAGGAGGCTGTGGAATGAAATATGGAAATGTGCCTCCCCCAAAAAAGACATTTTTACTTGCACACAACTCCCCAAGCCATCTTGCCCGACAGCCCATGTCTTTAAAAAGCTCAGCTGTTAGCTTCAGAGAGGTTCCTGAGACAACTAGCTGACATGAAGTACACTTTTGTGAGCCCCTCACTAAACAGTTCTGCCTTCCCAGTCTTCACCTTGCCCACCTGAGAAAGGTGTTCTGGCTCACTGGTTTTCAGATGCTGCCTGGCGGAGGCCCGGGGCTCTCTGACATCTAAGGCCAGGGAATAACAGAGGAGAAGGTATGTTCAGGGCTCGGCACTTCTCCAAACTTTCAGGAAACATGTTATGACAACTGCTAGCTTTGCAGCTGAGAGACAGGTTCCCTAGCCCTAGGGACCCTTTCATCATGCCCTGAGACCAAAATGTTAAAGCCAGGACTTGCCTGCCCCCAACAGTGTCCCCTAAGCCAGGCCTGGTGCCCAGTGACTCCAAGCAAGGCTTATTTATTAGATATAATCTTTCCAGGGCAGCAGAATTTACTGCACTTGTCTTCTTGGCCCTGTCACCAAGCCAGTCTGTCAAGGTTAAAACCCATCCAGGTCCAGGGATTGGCTGTCTCCTGGTGCATTGATGCCCAGGGACAAGGTGGGTGGATGCAGGGACCAAGACCAAGCAGCAAGCAGCCACTGCTTAGCAGAGCTGCTGCCAGGCTGGAGGGAGGGAGGGAGAAGAATGCTGTGCGGTGTGCTGGCAGGAATAGGTCAGGGAGAGGCCAGGGTGGCACCTTCCAGACCCTCTTTCCTCCATTCTGGGGTCAACTGGAAGCTTTCTTCTGGGTCTGAAGGGAGTGGAACAGCTGCTGCAGCTGGTTTTTCCGATCATTGACACAGCCTGGAAGGGAAAGCGGTGTTGGCTAGGTTGATCGGGGTGGGGGTGGTTTGCATCCCAGCTCCACTTGTGAAGTGCCCTTGTGCTCAGCAGGTCATTCACTTCTCTAAGCATCAGTTTTCTCAGCCAGGATAAGGACCCACCTTGTGCAGTAGACAGTATTCATCAGGAAACCTGGCATCAGCTGGGTCTTACCTCAGCCAGAGTGCATCAGGTGCTGGACAGAGATCTGCAGCCCTTGGAGGAATAGTGTGCACAAGAGACAGCAGGCTTAAAGAGGTTAAGTGATTTTCCCCAACTTCCAAAAGTGGCGGAACTGGTGCCAGAGCTCCTCCTTCCACACATAGCCTTTCCTCCTGTTTTTGCTCCGTGGAAAGGTATTAAAGCCAGCACAGTGTCTAGTACCTACCGGTACCTAGTAGATGTTAGCTTTGTTCTTTCTCCCAGCTCGTGTGCTGGGCTCAATTGACTAAGAGAGCTTTCCTGACAAGTGGCCCCTGGCATGCAAGTATATCCCAGGCAGTCACGCCCCAGATGAGCTGCCACCTGTCCCAGCAGGTCACGGTGCAACCATCTGCTTGCTGTCAGAGCTGATCCTCAAGGCAACTCCACACCATTTAATCTTGTGCTGGACACGTTGATGGCATCCATATGTGCTGAGGCCACAAGTACCTCCCAGAGGTACCTGCCCTCACTCTCATCACCCAAAAGCCCCGCTCCTGCCTCAGTGGCACTGACTGAGCTCAAGGCCCATTCTGTGTATACCCAGGGTTCTTCAAAGTGAGTTCCATGGTACCCTAGCTTTTACTGTATAAGGCTCGTTCATAACGCCAAGTCTTCATGACCAATGCAAACTCCCTCTTGGAGTTCTAGACACAACTCTTAAGTTATCTACTGACCTTTTTGCCCAGATGACCCTGAACACATCCCCAGTTTAGTCCTCAATCATCAGTACTCCTTTCCCACACCTCCTTCCTGTGTTTATCACCACCCACCAAAGCACCTGACTAGAAGCTTGAGAATAATTCTAGAGACTTCTAAAATAGTGTTTATCTACCTGGACTACTTATTTGAGTCACTGAGAGCTTTAAAAAAATACTGATGCCAAGCCAGGCATGATATTGAATGCCTGTAATCTCAGCACTCTGGAAGGCTGAGGCTAGAGGATCATGAGTGCAATCCCAGCCTGAGCAACCGATTGACTCGGCAAACCCTCCCTCAAAATAAGTAAAAGAAGGACTGGGTATGTAGCTCAGTACAAGGGCCCCAAGTTCATTCCCCAGTACTGCAAACAAAAAGTTCTCAGACCCAACTACATCTCTATCTGTGCTATTCAAATGGGAACCCAAGAACCAGCAGCCTTGGTATTGGGAGGGGGACTGTCCACAGAGATGGCTGCAGTAGTTCCATTCCTATGCATACAGCTTTGCAAGGCGACTTGGCCATTCTCACCAAGAGGTGAGTCCTGATTCTTCCCCTCATGACTCCCAGCTGACCAAGATAATTGCTCTAAGCAATGGTTTGTAACAGAATGATACTGGGGCTTCTGAGCCTAAGTCTCAAGAGGCTTTGCCATGTCTTTTGGAACCCTGGGAAGACCATGCCAGGAAGCAAGCCCAGACTTAGCAACTGGTGCCTACGTGGAAGAAGAGGCCTGGCTGACATCTAGCATCAATTCCACTTGGAAAGTGAGGCTCCCCAAGGCCATTGGGTGTCAGTGGAGCTGCCAGAGGTCTGCACTCCCTGGAGTGACCAGAAGAGATGGGAAAAGTCATAAGCAAACAAAACAGCTATTTTACTACAGTATTCTGAAAAAGGAGGTTGAAGAGGATATCAGAAAGTGGAAAGATATCCTTTTTTCTTGGATAGAACCAATATAATGAAAATGGCCATATTTCCAAAATTGTTGCACAGATTCAATGTAATCCCAGTCAAAATCCCAACAGAATATCTCACAGAATTAGAAAAAACAATACTAAAATTCATTTGGAACCAGAAGAGACCTAGAATAGCAAAGGCAATTCTGAGCAACAGAAGCAAAACAGTGGGTATCACAATCCCTGATTTTAAATTATGTTACAAAGCTACAGTGATAAACAACATGGTACTGGCAAAAGAACAGACCCGAGGCTCAATGGAACAGTCTAGAAGATACAGAAACAACACCAGACATACTCGGCCACCTTATCTTTGACAATCTTCGATTAAGAAATCGAACACTTTCACTGAAAGAAAGATAGCTTCTTTAATAAAAGGTACTGGAAAAACTGGCTTTCCACATGCCAAAGATTGAAACTAGACCCATACTTTCACCACACACTAATCTTAAAGTGATATGGGTCAAAGATCTAAATATTAAAAACTAAATCTGCTGGAAGAGAGAACAGGTAGTATGCTTGAGGACATAGGAGTAGGCAAAGACTTCATGTATAAAACCCAGACCACATGGGAAATACTACAAAGAATCAACAACTGGGACCTCATCTTATTAAAAAGCTTTTAGGGGCTGGGGATTTAGCTCAGTGGTGCAAGTGCTGCCTCTCAAGCGCAAGGACCCGAGTTCTACCCCTGGTACCAAAAACAAAAAAACAAATAAAAAGCTTTTAGGCTGGGGATTTAGCTCAGTGGTGCTGCTGCGTGCCTCATAAGTGCAAGGTCCCAAGTTTGGTAGCAGGGTTGGGGGGAAGCTTTTGCAAAGCAAGAGAAACCAGTAGAGCAGAAAGACAAATCACAGAGTGGGAAAATTTTTTCTGATAAAGGACTGTTACCTAGAATATATATAAAGAACTCAAAAAACAGGAGCCCCCCCACCCCTCAAATTTAAAGACTCAATGAAAAAATTGGCATCTGGTATGAAAAGACACTTCTCAGTGGAGAATTAGAAACAGCAAGTACATGTATGAAAAAGTGTTCAACATCACTGGTCACTTGTGAAATGCAAATTAACACTGAACTTCCTCCTCCAGAAAGAATGACTGCTATCAAGAAATCAACCAATAACAAATGCTGGAGGGGCTGTGAGGAAAAAGCACTCCATTGTTGGTGGAAGTATAGCTGGTGCAACCACTGTAGAAATCAGTGTGGTGATTTCTTGAACTAAAACTAGAGGTTACATTTGACCCAGCTATACCTCTTCTTGGTATCTTTCCGAAAGAATTAAAAGCATCACACCACAGCAATATACGCACACCCATGTTTGTAGCAGCACAGTTTGTACTAGCTAAATCTTGGGAACAGCCCAAATGCCCATCAGCTGATGAGTAGATAAAGAAATTTTTTTTTTTTCTTCATACAGTGGAGTTTCTTCATACAGTGGAGTTCTACTCTGCCATAAGACGGATGAGCTTCAGACATTTATAGCTAAATGGTGGAACTTGAGACCATACTCTCAAGTGAAATAAATCAGACACACATGTTTAAATACCAAATTGTGTCTCAGGTGTGAGAACCCAAAAGTAGAAACAAGGACTGAAATGTATTACGGATGTTGGAAATGGGAAGAAGGTGTTCAAATGGAAAGGGACACAAAGGAGGAGGGGGAGAACGGGAGGAAGGGGCAAGAACAAAAGTGAAAATAGTAGGAAAAAAATGGAAACAAAGCTTTCGTACATAGGGAGGGGAGGGGTCTTGGGGGGGAGGAGGACAAAATGAAATTTATTTTAAAAAACCAAGCTCCTGGGTTTGAGGAGCAGCGTTTACTGTGTTACACAGTAGTAGTTGACAGAGCATGCCTGGAATTTGTCAAATGGCAGTTCTCAGGCTCCACCCTAGACTTATTGAATAATAATCTGCATTTCTATAAGGTCTCCAGGTGACTATATTACAGCTGGAGAAGCATCATGTAGTCATCCACCAGCAATCAGATATAGCAGACCTGAGGATCTGCTGTGGAAAGCGCATCACAAACCCCTTTTCCTTTGTCTTCCCCCAGGCACACTACTTGACACCCAAGCTTTCTTGACACTGGGATGGTGACAGCATGGTAGGAGGTCTCCTTCCCTTTTGGAATGAAAAGTCAGAGCCTTGAAGTGAGGCATTACCACTGGGGCGTTCCTGTTTCTTCCTGCCTGGGACAAAGACAGTGTCTAGGAATGGAGCACACATCTTCCAAACTGTGAGGCAAAAACCATGATCACTAAACCAACCTGCTGAGTGTGGCAAGGCAGAAGAAGGAGCTGGGTCCCTGGGGCACCGTGAGACTTGTCAGCCTGTGCGGCCTGCCTGAGTCTTCCTGTGACATAAGTCCACCCCTCTCTATTTAACTGGTAGATGGTATTTTAGTTACACGAAGCCAAATCTAATCCTAAATCACCCCAAACCTAAAAAACAAAGTTTCTTTTTATCATCCAAGAAGTTGCCACAAATTACAACTGAAAAAGCAAATGACAACATGAAAAAGTGTTCAACACCACTGGTCATTTGTGAAATGCAAATTAACACTAAGCTTCTACCATATTCTCAGTATGTTTAACAGAGGACTTGATATCTTTAGCATATTAATATCCAAAGCTTTGATAAACGTAGAAAACTCTAAGAAGCCCCTAGAAAAACAGACTGGATAGCTTATAAAAGGAGAAAAGCGAATTAAAAACCTGAAACCTCAGCAGTGATCACTGAAATACACATGGGATGATAAGGAGTCAGAACGTTTCACTTGTCAATTTGGCACAGATTTTTCTTTTGCTTTTTCTTTCTTTTTTTTTTTTTTACATTAAAAACTGGCAAATTGGAGTAGTCTTTCTGGAAGCAGTTTGGTTTTAATAAGTTCAATCCTTTGATCCAGTAATTCTGCTTCTAGGAATGTAGAATCTAGCAAAATAGCCAGAAATTCAGTTGAGCTTTATGGGATAGGGTGTTCATCATGGTATAAAAAAATGGAACTGTGTCAGCTGGTCAATTATAAGAAATTGGTTTAGTGAATGTTGGCATATATGCACACTAGAGTGTTTTGTTGCATATGGTAATCTTGTTCTTAATTCTGCTAAGGAGCAGGAGAATTTAGCTGCTAACGTTCAGGTTTTAGTCAGACAGACTAGAGTTAAGTCCTCATCGCTGTGACCAAGACCTCAGCAATCTAGGTAAATTTCTTCATCTGCACAATGAGCATAAAAGCTGCATAAGATGAAATGAGTCAAAGTGTGTAAAGTGTTTAGTTCAGACCTGACTAAACAGTGCTTCCAAATGGGAGGTTCTTAATATTCTTGGATGGAAAAGTGGGACTCAAAACTCGGGCCCAATGCCAATTTTATAAAAGAAAAAGTATGAATATATGCATTTTTTAAAACTGGAAGGAAACATGCCAGATTGCTAAAGATGGGTATGTCTGGATGTTTTTAAATTTTTTCCTTCTTTAGTTTTCAAATATTCTACGAAGAGTGTGAATAATTTTTATAATCAAGAAAATTTTTCGCTTTTTAGAAACCACCTTTAAAGTCAAGCCCCAAGGTCCTTCATTTCTGTTAACAATATGTAATGGATGTTTTAGGTTGTTTTCCACCTAAGTCTTTTGAAATCCACCTCCTGGCAGATTAGTGATATTTCTATGTGCTAGGCAGTGTCCTGGGCATATACAGAAACTACTCCATCTCTATTTGACAGGTGAAGCACAGAGGTTAAATCTTTGCCAAAGATCACACAGCTGCTAAATTGCAGATTGAATTCAACCACAGTGCTATGCCAGATGCCTCCTGCACTACCTGGCACTGACTTCCCACCTTCCCTGCATACCGAGGTGTGTGTTGGTCACGAAGTTTCCCATCCCCGGCAGGTCAGGAGCCCCCTCCTCTCTGCTCACGGGTCCATCATTCCACATGAGGTCGAAGCCCCCGACTCGCTTTTCCTTTCCTGTGAGCCTGAACCAACAAGAGACGCAAGGTTGAAGAAGGTGCAGCTCGTGGGCCGGGTCTCCTTCTGGAACTGTACCAGCATCCGCCCTGCCAGAGTTCCTTTTTTTTTGCCCAACCACTCACTGGCTGTATCCTGGTGACTGTGCAGGTTTCTGACACTCACTGTGGTAACAGGCCCCTGATTTGTGATTTCTGGCATAGTCTGCTTGCTTGCAAACTAAAAACACAGTGGAGATAGCACAGGGTCTGTGGTGCCCTTTACTGCGTCCTCAGAGTGTGGCACAGGCCTGGTCACAGCAGGGGCCTGAGTGCTTATTGAATGAATAAGCATCCATTTCACTTTCTCTCGGGTTAAGGGTGCCTCAGTTTTTCCTTCAAGGATCCTTCTCCCTCCCCACCCACATGGCTCAGGTGGGGTGACACTACCCCATGGCAGGTGGGCACAAAGCCTGGCCAGAGTCATCCTATGCAGGCACCTCAGTTTCCCTGTCTGTGAAATGGTCGAGCAGGCCAGATCCACCTCTGACTCTCTCTCTCTCTCTCTCTCTCTCTCTCGCTCGGTGGCAGCACCACTGCCATAAGTACAGCATGCGGCCAAGGCGGCCTCACCTGGCTTCCATGTCTACCACGTGCAGCGTGTCCTCCAGCAGGCAGGTCTTCAGCTCATAGTCCTCCGGGCTGCTGGCTGTCAGCGAAGGGGAAGCATTGACCTCCAGGAGCCACCTGGGACGGAGGGAGGGGCAGCCTGAGGGTCAACGGTCCCTGGAGCCATTGTGCTGTCCCTGAGGCTAGACGGGTACCTGGGTCCTGCTCCCAGGCCAATCAAGGCCGCTCCCTCCATCCGTCCACCCTGGAGAAAGGCAGCTAGAGGAAGGAAGCTGGCTGGGTACGAGCATGATTATGGGGGTCTCCTGCTGGTATGTTTGCCTGTTTCCAATACATGCGAGTACGAGTGAATCCTGCTCTCATTAGCTTTCCTAGTTTGTCTATACCTGGGTGTTCACCTGCCCTATCAGGTCTGGGAGATGGTAAGAGGGGTGGGGAGCTGGGAAGAGCATCTGCATCTAAAAGGATATTTCTGGGACAGTGTCAAGGGTGGAGTGTGAATCCGGAATGGCAGAATCCTCTGATTTGCCCAGAAAAGCCCAAAACCCTAAGTTTTATGTAAAAATCTCTCAAATTTTAGAGCTTGTCCATAAATTTAAATAAAAAAACATTCCAAAGGCCAAACTTGAAGCAACTGCATCTGTAGGCCAAGGTCAGCCCAAGGACCTCTGGTGTGCAACCTCTAGTTTTATACAACCGTCACTTTAGACAGGAAGCTGGCGCACAGAGAGGGAAAGGCTCCCCAGCAGCCAGTGAGGGACCACAGACTCCCTTTCCATTCTCTGCTGCCTGTGCCCAACCCTATTCACCCTGTGTCTACCCTAATGCCACACATCTTGTTGCACAGAGAAGGAAGCTCTCTGAGGCTGTGAACTCAGTTTCCCTTGAACCAGAGACTAATTTAGGTCTTGCTCTTGGTCTCCTATGCCTGCTTTCAAAAACCTCTCAGTACTGACATGGTGACTTTAGCAGGGAAGTCATCTCTACATCCAGCAGTGCTGTCTTAGCCCAGGTCTTCATAACCTGGCCCTGGCCTTGCCCTTGACCTGACACTGACCTTAGGCTCCTTGAACAACCCATGGGCTTCCCTCTCTTGTCATACCATGCAAGCCGTCACTGCAGTCCCTGCCAGCTCTCCCTGTCCACAGGCGCTGCAGCTGTGTTCCACATTCTGGGCATGGACTGACACTGGGTCCATATTCCCCTACATAGGACTTCTCATCCTCTGCACCGAAGACTTAGAGGGAAGCAGCTTGCCTGGTACAAGAGGAGAACTCATGACTCAGCCAGTGATCAGGAAAGTCCTCCAAGGGCAAGACTTGGTGCCTATTACTCACAGGTGATTGTTCTTTTATTCCTCCTCACTATAAGGTAAAAGCAGGATGACCAGCCCCATTATTCAAACTGGCAAACTGAGGCACAGAGAAAAACAAGTGTGCCGAAGGTCCCACAGTCAGGAAGTGACAGCTGTGATTCAGATCTGGGTGATCTTGGAGCATAATATGTAAACCCTGATATGCACACCCTCCTTCCGGGATGCTCTCCCACTCACGGCTTGAGGTCTTGGTCGATGAGAATGTCGTAGCCATACAGCTCAAAGCAGTGCTTGTCACTAATGATCACCTTCTGCACGCTTTGCAGGCTCTTGATGAAGATGTTGTCCATGTCACTGAAAAGTGCCTCCACCACCTGGGGGCCATGCTTGGATGCTAGGTACTGCCGAAAACGCTGGAGCATCCACTTGCAGCCCTGGGCCAGCAGCCAGGCAGTGAGGGACCTCAGGAAATAGAACCCCACCTGCCAGAACCCTCAAGCCAACTCATTAGCACAGCCCTTAGGCCTGAGTCCCATAAGCAGGGCAATCTGGGGGTAGCCTCCTTCTGAAGCAAAGATTATATGTAACTACCACGGTGGGACCCCAAACGTCCCTGCCCATGTGACTCGTGCAAGGCCCTTCCCTAGGTCTGCCTCCCTGAGGAAGGACTACAGGGACCATGTGCCTCCTAAGGCCAAGAGTGGCCAACAGGCTGCTGGTGCATTTGTAAGTCCTTGTAAGGGATGGAGCCAGGAGAGGGAAAGGATAGCAACAGTTGTGAGCTGGGGCTCATTGTCCTGTGCCCCGATCTGGCCCCTCCCTCTGAAAAGTCTCAGAATTCTGTATTTGAATTTGGTCTTGAAGGTTATTATGCAGATTAGATACACTTGATCTTAGCCAAAAGGCTGAGAAGCGATTATGCAGATTAGATAGATCATAGATAGGATAAATGATAGGTATATCTATAGATATATAAGATATACAGCATATTTATGTTATACACCAATGATGGACTGAGCAGTAGCAGATATTGTCCAAGTAGAAGAATAGAACACATTTTGCTTAGGGGTGCATTAGTTTGACCTGTAACTTTCAGGTATTTAGACTCATGGTCTGTGGGCCTTCTTGTATTTTTGCTTTGGGCCACACAAATGCAAAGGGTGACCCTGCCCTCAACAGTGAACTGTGTCCTGTCTGAGCTCCCAGCACCGCATCCACAAGGCTGTACTTGTGGAGTGCAGAAGCCCGGCCTCCTCACCTTCTTTGGGTGGTAGTCGGGAGATGTCTTCTGCACAGCGACGTTGGTGAGATGAACATCTGAAGAGGTTGTGGTCAAGGCCAGTGTGGACAAGAAGAGTGAGCCCTGCTCCATATTGTTCCCAGGATGGCATTGAAACCCTTGCTTGAGATTGACAGGAAAAGCTACAAAACAGCTCAAAGTTCCCGTATGTGGGCCTTGGAGTCAGTCAAGTCTGGGCTTGAGTTCTACCTGCGTTTTAGTGGCTGTGGACCTCTGAGCAAGCTGCTTAACCTCTCTCTCCCTCAGCCTGTTCCTCTACCTCATAAATGGGGAAACATAACAGTGTACTGGCTTCACAGGGTTATTTGAAGAATCAGATAGATATGGCATGAAAGTGATACAGTGCCTAGCATAGCTCATATATTGAGTTTTTCAACTCAAATGGAGAGAAAACTTTCTAACCTGCCTCAGGACATACTGGGGGCCCCCTCTCCACAGGGCCTCAAACTGGTGACCACTTTTCAGAAATACTGGAGAAGGGATCCGGCATAGACAGATGATCTGGGTGGCCTTAGAAGACCCTGAGAGTCTGCCTTTTGGTATCATCACTGGTGTCACCCCTCAGTGACACTGGCAACACTTGCGGCTCACTCATACACAAATGATCCCCATCTCACAGATGAGAAGCTGAAGGCTAAGAGAAGGTAATGACGGCCACACAGAACACCCTGCCCTCCACATCCCCCGCAGGACTAAGCAGGATGGATCCCAAACCTCCAGGGCTTACCAGGGGACAGTTCTCACTTGAGGAGGTGGAGGCCTTAGGTCACTGGCTCAAGTCCAATTTTTGGATCGAATATATTTCTCCTTGTTTGTGGCATATTGGACAGAGCAGGGTGGTGTCAGCCTCTCAGAGAAGGTAGGTGCCCTCTTTAGCATATTTTTCCCTAGAACATCACCTTTAGAGATTTTCAAAGGCTTTTCCTTCACATTTGTCTGAGGATTTTTCTGCCTCAATATCAAAAGAATAAGCACGTGACCAATCACTAAATAGGAAAGGGGCCCTTACATTTATGATCAGTTGATTTTCTAAAAGGCAATTCAGGGCAGGGGAAAGAGTCTTCTACAAATGGGGTAGGGATGCCTGCATACTCAGGTGCAGAAGAATAAAATGGGGTCCCTTTCTCACACAGAGACAAAGCTCAACTACAAATGGATCACAGGCCTACATCAAGAGGAAAAACTGAAAATTCTTGGAACAGTATATAGGAATAAGACCTTGTGACCTTGGGTTAGGCAGAATTTCTTTCTTTTACCAAAAGCACAAGTGAACCAAAGAGGAAAAAAGATAAATTGGACTTTACCAAAATTAAAAATTTTGTTTTAAAAGACACAAGAAAATGAAGAGATAACTCACAGAATGGGAGAAGGTATCTGCAAATCATGAGTCTGAAACAGGACTATTATTCAAAATAAATAAGGGATTCTTATAACTCAACGACAAAAAGACAAACTATTGTATTAAAATGGACAAAGGATTTGAATAATCCAACAAGCATATAAATGGGGCTTGGCATTATGAGTTATGAGAGACATGCCAAACAAAACTATTTCATATCCACCAGAATTGCTGAAATAAAAAGGATAGATAATAGGTGTTGGTGAGGATGTAGAGAAATCAGAACCCTCACAAAATGCTAGTGGAAGTGTAGAATTGTGCAGCACTTTGGAAAACAGTTTAGCACTTTCTCAAAAGGTGAGCACAGCATTACCTGTGACCAGCAATTCCAATCCTAGGTGTGTGCCTGAGATAATTGAAAACTTATGTCCACACAAAAGTGTGTACACAAAAATTTCAAAGCAATATTTCATACCAGAAAAAAGTAAAAACAACTCTAGTGTCTATCAATAGATAGACCAACCACATACCCCTTCATAAGATGTGACACTTCCACACAACGGAATACTATTTGTCAGTGACAAGATAGGGAGTACTTATTATCCACATGCTACAGCATGGGGGACACTTGTATCCTGATAAGTGAAAGTTGGGCACCAAAGACCATATACTGTGTGGTTCAATCTCTGTGAATATCCAAATACATAGAGTCCGAAAGTGGTTGCTAAAGGCTGAGAGGGATACGGTGATAGCAAACGGGTGTGGGATTTCTTTGGGGGGTGATGGAAATGTTCTAAAACTGCTGATAGCTGTGTGATCTGACACAAACTTTCACTGCACAATTTACCTGGGTGAATATCTCAAAGCTCAACACAAATCTCAATATGGATCAAGAAAGCTTCTTTTCTGTACCTTCTTGAATTTCCTGATTCGAGTTTAATGTGCTGTACTACCTTCATGATGATGATATTGTATAAAGATAACATGTATAAAGATCAATTATATCCCAGTAAAGTTGTTATTTAAAATAATAGGAATAGAGGATGCTCAGGCCACTGAGTCATTGGTTTTACAGCGGAAATCATTCCCTCATGGTCAGAGCAGTGCAGCCACAACTAACAATAGGAATAGAGGATGCTCGGGCCACTGAGTCATTGGTTTTACAGCGGAAATCATTCCCTCATGGTCAGAGCAGTGCAGCCACAGCAATGCTCAATCTGCCCTACAGGGCCTTCTAGGGGCTGAGGGAGGACATGGGTAGCCAGGCAGCTGTCCTCAGAGCCTCCCCTATCCACACACAGATGGACTTAGAATTGAGTCCTCATGGGCCAACGAGTCAAGTAACCAAGAGTAAGCAAACAATCCAAATCAATTCAGAGAGAAATGAAGCTGATCAGAGGTGAAATCCTTAGAGGGGAAGGAATTCTCAAAGTTCAGACATGACATTAGACAAGACAGAGGAAGTCTATAGACAACTATGGAGTTAACTATGTAAAACAACCACATGGGACAAAAATTAAAGGTAAACATGACTAGAGAAAAGATGATCGAAAATGTGACACTGTAACAGATTGGTCACAAAAAATTGCTAGCAAAAAAAATGTTGACTCTAATAAATAAAACTGTGGAACCACAAAAGAGAAGATACAACTGGGAGAAGACTGCCTGGGAAAAGGATCAAAGTTGCTAGGAATAGCAGAGACGCTATTCGAAAGGCACATAGTGGGGAGAGGGTGCGAACTGGAGGAGACACAAAACCTAAGGGAAACCCCTGCTTTCTCATCATGTGAGTGACATCTTTTTGATTTGGAAAAATTCAAAACTCAGAATAACTGCAAGACTGTGCTTGACCTAGATGTGTCCATTGTCTTAGAAATGGCTTTTAAGATGACTGTCTCTAGCACTGGGTACATTTCATTGAAGTGAAATGGGTCTGTTAATGAGGGAGGGTTAAAAATATAAAGAACTCTTCTGGAGAGAATCTGCCCAGATGCCTTTCACTCAGTTTCACTCCTCCATGACACCATCCAAAAGAAAAACCTTAAATACAGTGAAGGGTTTACCAGTTGTTCATTTGCAGCCTTGCCTGTCACAATGACAACAAACAGAACACTTCCCCCAGTGCCTGCCACACAAGGGATTAGCAAGCCATAAATCCACTCTATGGAACATTTTATAGCTAAAAAAATGTCTACAGGGAAAATATGAAGCTGATGTTTAGTGGAAGAAAAGTTATATTTCTACTGATGGATCACTCACATATAAAAAATAATGGACAACATAAAAAGCTCAACAAATGAGCCTGGAAGGAAATACACTCACGTGGTGAACAGTTATCTCTAGAAATATGCCAGGAGAAATCAGCTTGCTTTCTTTTGTGTACATTCCTGATTTGCATATGATGAAAATGATATCCTCTCTGTTTATTATTTTTATTACTGGAAAAGAGCATATCAGTTGGAGAAAAGGTTCACAATGTGAGGAAATGTTTAAAAATGAAACTAAGTGTTTGCTGACCTGATTCTAATCCTCTGCAATTCTCAGAGGTAACAGATTACTAAATGATGAACATTCACTCATACTTTTTCCTAAACAGAAACATACTTTTAAAAAAGCAAAACAGGATAATAAACCAACGTTGCACCTTGCTGAGGATTTTTCCCTCTTAAAAGTGTCCATTGCTTTTCCATTTCAACCACCTTATTGTTCTTAACAGGTGCATAACATCATGTAGATGCTTTATATTTCGCTTGCTTTGTTAAATTCTTTTTTAGATGTTTTATAACTCATTCCACCTTCTCTCAAGCATGATTTAAGTTATTTCTACTGGTTTACTATTATATACAGGGTTTCTGCTGGTATTTTAAAATATTTTGTGTAGGTATAAATATATAGATATATACATATATTTGATTAATTTGGGAAAATTATATGTGATAAATAATAAAGTCAGGTTACATATATCCTTTATTTTGTGGCAGAAAAAGTACTATTTGAAAAGTTGGTTTGTAACATCTGAAGCAAATATGGCAAAATATTACTGTCTGTTAAATATGGACAATAGATACACAGGGCTCTGTTTATACTCTTTTCTGCAATTTTCTATATATTTTAATGGTTCAAAATTTAAAAAAAGTTAAACAGAGGGGGTGGTAATGATATGTAGTCACTCACTGTGAATTCTCAATAAGTGAAGCCTCCTTAAATAGAAGCGGGAAAGGGCTTGGGCTGTTTAACGAATCCCCGCAGTGGCCAGAGATGGACAAAGCTCTTAAGTGGGGAGGGAGGATGCTCACATTTACAAGGGGTCACTCTGTGGGGCACTGTTCAATGTCATCTGCATATTTAGTTTTAAATTCTTTTTTTCTTTTTTTTTTTTTTTTTTTTTTGGTACTGGGGGTCAAACTCAGGACCTTGCACTTGGGAGGCAGGCACGGTGCCACTGAGCTAAATCTCTGGCCCACGCATACTTAATTTTAATAACAAAACAAGATGGCAATGAAACAAAACTAAATTCAGTTTGATGACGTTCATGTGATAAATCCTTCCTAGAATTAAATAAATCCTCCTTAGAATAAAATAAATATGCTGGAAATGAAATTGGCAAAGTTGAAAAAAACGTAAAATGTGCTCAGTGCTGGGCATGGTGGCACATGCCTATAATCTCAGCATTCCGGGAGGCTCAGGCAAGAGGGCTGCAAATTCCAGCCCAGACTGGGCAACTTAGTGATTTAGAAAGATCCTGTCTCAAAATAAAAAATAAAAAGGGGTGGGGCAGCATCTCAGTGCAAAGGCCCTGGGTTCAATGCCCAGTACCCTCCTGCAACCAAATGGTTACTCAGAAAAGCCTCATATCAGTCTTCCATGCAGGTGGAGCAAATCAATACCTGGGACACTCACTTGAACTGGACGATGAAATGAAACCAGAAATGTGAATTGGTGAAAAACATTGGCCAATTCTCAACCAGAAGACTGGCAGGAACATCCCCCATTTCCTTGGGCAGATGATCTCCCAGGACAGGTAATCCAGACCGGCTGATCTTGCTCCCAAGCATTTCTGGATTGACCACCCATTTTAGTCTGAAGCTCAGACCTAAAAATGTTAAAACCTTTTCCTTTTGATGTGTATAGTTTGTAGATAATACGTTCACATGGCTCAAAAGTACAAAAATGTACATATGAGGAAATAACTTCTTTCCACCCCATCCACCTATACATTTTTCCTCCCAGACTCAACTTCCATTTCTGGTTTTCTTCTTCTTCTTCTTTTTTTTTTTTTTTGTGGTGCTGGGTATTGATCTAGAGCCTTCACAGACTCAACCCATTTCTGGTTTTCTTCTTCTTCTTCTTTTTTTTTTTTTTTGTGGTGCTGGGTATTGATCTAGAGCCTTCTTGCACATGTTAGGGACATGTTAGGGAAGTGTGCCACTGCTGAGCTACACTCCCAGCCCTGTTTCCAATTTCTTGTCCATCCTTCAGAGACCTCTAGGCACAGATAAGCAAACACACATAGACATGTGATTTTTAGCATAAACAGAAGCATACTTTTCACTTTTTTCCAATTAACAATTCATATATGTACAGAATGCACCTTGCTATTCCATTGTAACAGCTGCCTAGTACCCCACTGCACAAATGCACTTCTTGTTTTCCTGTTTCCTACTTATATTTGCTCTCACCAAAAGGGTTATGCAGTGAATAACCTTTGGGCTTTTCCAGTGTTGTGGATGTACCTGTAGGATAAATTGCCAGAGGAGAAATTGCCAAACAGAGGGTATGTAGGTTTGGTTTTTGATATTTAGCAGATTACCTGCTGAGGGCATGGACCAACTTATACTCCCACCAGCAGCATGTGGATAGCCCAGGCTTGCCAAGGCAGCATGTTAGCAAAGCTTTGGTTTCTGCCAAGTGGACAGGTGAAAGTGGAGTTGTATTTACATGAATATGTGAGCCAGTGACCGGAAACTGAAGAGAAAGGCCTGAGATGACACAAGCATTCTCCACAGGGCCAAGCCTGTCCGCTCCTCTGCATGCATGAACGTGAATGTCCACACCAAGTAAACCATCACCCAGCAAAGCAGTTTGGGGACAGTGGTTCTTTCAGGGCTGCACCACCTCTACCACCTTAAGACCAAGCGTGCCCAGAGGGAAAGGCCCAGGCCTGGCTGCATCCTGTGCCCAGACCCTGCAGGCACCCAGCTGACAGCCGCAGCTGAGACAGGCCCTTTGGGATTGGCAGAGACCAGACAGGGCAGCGAGCAGGGCCACAGAGCCCAGGATACACTGGTCGTCGATGCTGCTCAGCGTGAAGCGAGTGTTGGAGAATCGGGTGAAGCCATCTCTGTAGAGCCAGGCACGCAGTGGGAGGTACTGAGGTGGAGGTAGGAGCAGAGGGAGGAAAGGAGACACTCAGGACCTCACACCTCCTGGAGTTTGCACCTGCTGTTCCTTCCACCGGAATGCTCTGCCTTTCCAGATTACTCTTCAGGCATTTGTTCTCACATCAGCCTTCTCTCCACCCCTCTCTCTTTCTTCCAGTTAGGGGATTGAACCCAGGGCCTTCCTCCTGAGCTGCATCCCATCTCCAGCTCTTTTTTTTTTTTTTTGTGGTGTTATTTTATTTATTTTGCACTGGGGATCAAACTTAGGACCTTGTGCTTATGAGGCAGGCAGTGGCACCACTGAGCTAAATACCCTCAGCCCTTGTTGTGTCATTTTGAGACAGGATCTGCCTAAATTGTTAAATTGCTCTAGCTAGGCTCAAACTTATGATTCTCCTGCCTCAGCCTCCCAGAGTGCTAGAATTACAGATGTGTACTTCCACGCCCAGCTTAACATCAGCCTTTGACTCTATCCCTTCCTTTTCTGGGGGAGGATGCAGAAGGGCACAGAGGGAATGACCTGGGTTCTACCACCACATGTGATGCCCCAGCAGACATGAGTCCCAGTGGCAGTGGCTGAGCCTGTCTCAGACACCCCAGTGTCCTTGTGCCCAGCATAGAGTGGCACACTATGAAGGGTTAAATATTTGCTGGATGAATGAATGAGCGAGTGGAGGGAGAACAGCAACTCTCTGGCTAAGCGAGTAGACTCTGGATTTGAATGCCAGTGCTGCCCACCGTGTCACTCAGTCTTTGTGTGTCTGTTCCTATCTGTAAAATGAGATAGCACTCACAGCAGCCTCACAAGGTTGTTAGAGGGACTGCATGGCAGCCAGCCTGCTAAGCAGGTGGCCTGGTGATCACTGCTTCCTGTGGATAACTGAGTGAAGAAAGAGGAACAGGTGGAGGACAGAGTGAGGCTCTGGGCCCTCTAAGATGTGAGACAGGTACATCTGCCTGCCCCCGCCCAGGTCCTGCGTGCCCTGGGCTCCCCAGGTGAGAGAGAACTCACAAGCTCACACAAGCTCTCCCCAAATATCCCCCTACCCCATCCCCTGGGCAGGAGGCCCCCTTCCTCAGTGACTCACCGATGTTACCAGCACGTAGACTCGCAGGTCAAACTTGCGGCCTGTTAGGCAAAAAAAGGATTTGTGTAACAAACATTGACTGCATGTCAGACACCATGCTTGATGGGGGATACAAATCCTTTTCACAGAGCTCCCAGTAAAACATACACATGCACACAGGTATACACACACACACACACACACATCACAGTACAAGATAATAGGGTGAGGGTGTCAATCTTGGAGAAAGGTTGAGATTTAGTGGCCAAGTGGTATGAGAAGGTACCTCTCTAGCCCTGCATGGCACAGAGCCTCAGGCAGGACAGAGGCCCAGAGGGTACCACCAGCCCAGGCCAGTGTAGCTGGGGGGATGGTGAGCGAGGGTGGCAGGGGCAGACCACATGCAGTCTTTGGAGTTTGTTCTACAAAGCATGGGAAGCTGCCACAGGTTGTGCAAGGCTCTGGCCTCTGTGTTGCAGTGGCCAGGGCTGGATGGAGGCAAGAGGGTGGTCAGACAGCTTCAGGAACTGGACAGGAGCTCAGCGAAGAGTGGGTGTGGGTGAGGAAGAACCAGTCACACCAGGAGAAGTCCCTGGATCCTGGCTTTGCAACCTGGGTGTGGAAGGAATGTGAACCGATGGGGAAGCTGGGGAAAGAGGGAGCTGCAAGGAGAGGTTTGGGTCTGGCTGGTGTTGGGGTTGAGCTGCCAGCAGATGGCCAAGAGATTTGGGGCTCAGGAGCGAGGCCTTGGCTGGGGAGGTAAAGCTGGAGTCACTGATATTTAAAGCCACAGACAGGATGGGGCCCATGGTCACTGTCTGATGATGTGCAGGCAAGTGGCACTGACATCGGTGCCGTGATGCACCTCAGACAACCCCGGTCACTCCTCCCCTGCCTGTGTCCACAGACCCTGTGTGGGGAAAGGAGATGCAGTTTGGCCGGGAAAAGCACCAGGCTTCCAAAGGACTCAGGCCCCTCTGGGCGCGTCTCTCTGCAGGTCCACCCAGGTGTCATTCAGATCTCCTGGTCCCCATATTCTCTGGGTCAATGCTGTCCACTCCTGTGGGGTACAGGTATCATGGGAGTAGCAGGACTCAGGCCATGGCTGGTACCGAGGAGGCACTCTACGCCCGTCTGTTAACAGGGTCATGCATGCACGAGTGATTGACTTGGTTCTCCAAGAAGAGAACGGAAAGTGTGCCAGCTTGAGGGAACTGCATTTGCTATGGCTAGGAGGTGGCAGAAGACAGGACACACCTCTCAGTTATTCCATTACTGTCAGTGCCAGCCTTGGCCCTTGGCAGGCTGCTAGCTCAGGCTTGTTGACTGACTTCTTGACTGAGTGGTCAGAGGACATGAAGCCAAGACAGGCATCTCACCTCCAATTAAGTAGGGATTCTCGATGTAACGCTGAGCTACATAGTTCTCCACAGGTAACTCATCTTTCTGGTCATCAGAACTTCTTGTGTCCTACTTTTGATAATGTTAATTATTAACAGTAAGCATTTCCCATGTACAAGGCATTATCTTAGACACTGTACTTGGGGTATCTTATTTAACCCTTAAATTAACCCTCTTGGGTAAGTACTAATGTGGTTCCCATTTTTACAGATGAGAGACAAGCACAGAGAGCTGGAGTGACTTGCCCAAGGTCACACCGCTGGCCAGTGGTACAGCCAGGGTGTAGACCCACACACTTTGGGCCCAAAGCCTGAGCATTTGATCTCTAGACCTGTATTGCCTGGTAGGGTAGTCACTGGCCACGTGTGTTATTTATGTTTACATTTACCTTGATCAAAAGCAAATTAAATCACATACTACAACATGGGCGAAACTGGAAGACATGATTCTAAGTGGAAAGAAGGCAGACACTGAAGGACAGATACTGAATGGTTCCCTTTCTAGGGAGCATGGAGAGGAGTCAAATTCATACAGGCAGAAAGTAGATGATGCTGGTTGGGAGCTGGTGTTTAATGGTGCAGTTTTGGTTTGGGTTGACAGAAGTCTGCAGACCATGGTGATGATGGTTGTAAACCAATGTGGACACACGATGCCGGGGACGGGCCCACCGGGAAAGGGTTAAAGTGGGAAAGAGCACGCTGTGTATAGCTTATAACAATTTACAAAGGAAGTGAAATTTAAAATGAGGTCCTTCGGCAGCCACATATCAAGTGCACAGCGTTGCCATGTGGCTGGTGTCGCCCTGCGGAGGGCTCAGTAGACGCCATTTCCACTGCCGTGAAGAGTTGCCTGGAGAGTGCTGCCAGCCCACTTGACAGGCCCCTGGCTGGAAAACAGGCACTGTCACGGGCTAGCCCTGCCCCCAGGCAAAGCCCTTTCCTGCCACCGTCCCCTGGCAGCTACCTTGTGAGGAACCGAGGTCCAAAGACAAGAACTACCCCTTGCTGGGCTGGCACAGGGTCCCGTGGAGCAGGCACCAGAACTGAGGCCTCCTTGGCTCTCAGGCCGGACCCACCCCCACCAGCCACCACCCCCACCTGGCAACCAGGCCTTTGCTTCCTGCGACCTGGGCCACCCTACTCTATTCACGTGGCTGCAGGAAGGATTGACAGTGGCGGCAGCCGCACGGGCGGGCTGGGCCTCCAGGCTGGCGAATTTCTTGCCGGCAGTGCCCTGACGGTGGCATGGAAGGAATTGGGACACTCGGTGTTGGTGGTGGGGGAGATGCAGTGATGGAGTGCCTGCTGGGAGCCGGTGGGAGCTGCGTCTTCCAGCACCTCCTGCACCGTGGGCACCGTTGAGGCCCAGAGGCCTGTAACCATTTTCCCAGGAACATATAACTCCTGAATGGCAGAGGCAGGATTTGAACCTGGATTTCACTGCACATGACTGGGCCTGAGGATGCGGTGGGGGCAGACAGGGAGAGGCGGGGAGCGGGCAGGCAGAGGAGCAGCCAGCCCATCTCCATCTCTCCTCAGCCTATGAGCAAGAAGCAGGTAAAGCGCTCAGTATTGAGCACAGCTAAGCGCCAAGCGCTGTCCTCCTGGCTTATGTTACTAAGTCTCAACCTCAGCAGCTACTGTTACTATCTCCACTTCCTGGGGCACCAAGGGGTCCAGTAACCTGCCCAAGGAGGCACAGCTACTGAGTAGCAAGGTCAGCATTTGAACCTAGGCAACCTGGCTCCAAAGACCCCCACTGGAGGGAGGGAGGAGAGACCTATTCCGTGGCCAGGTTGCAGGTTTGGGGTTAGGAGAGCGACAGTCTCACCTTCCTCCAGTCCATGATGTCCTTCAGTCTCCGGAAGAGGAATATACCCTTGCCCTGAGACCTCGCGACCTGGGGTGGGGGACAAGGAAGGCAGTTCTCATGTGGGGGCTGCTGGGGCCCACTCTTCCCAGGCCCCTCTCCAGCATTTCTCCGTGTCCATCCCCACTAGGACCCAGCTATGCCACAGGGACTGAACAGGGATGGGGTCAAAAACGTTACTTAGCTCACAAAGACTTACATTTGCATGAATAATGCAAAAGAACAGACAATTAAAAAACCATTTCTAACAGTCCTGGGAACATATCATCCAATTCTTTTTTTGGAAATCAATTTGCCTTCCTAATTAGGTTTTGCTTCAGCTAATACTGAATTCAGACTGCGTTTACTGAACCCCAGCATGGATAATTCATAGCTCTCAGAGGCCGGGGGTTGGGAGAACCTTCAGTATCTTACAGAGTGGTCCCCATGGAAAGCATTACTCCCTCCCATACGTAAGAGCATACAGCGGCCCTTCTACAATGCTCACCTGCCTGGCCTTGCACACCTCCAAGTGCCTGAGAGCTTACGAACTGGCCCTGCCCCAAATAGCCCTTTTTGTTGCAGGATGGCTTTGTTAAACAGTCATATAGCAGGTATATACCAGGTGCCTACTACGTGCTGGATTATATGATATCACCTTACTCAGACGTCATGGAACTTCCACAGCCTAACCTGTACTGAGCGTAAGTTTGCCAGTCTGGTCTGGCTTCTAGGGCTTCCTGGAACAAATCTGATTCCAGGGCACCAGAATTGCCCTTTGGTTATCTGCAGCTATCAACAGGTCCCTCCAAGTCATCTCTTCTCTAGCATGAATGCACCCAGAAAGTACAAAACTCACGTTTCTCTCTTCTCCTGGGACATGGCCCGCCTGGCCTACCTGAGGCTCTCTGTACAATCCAGGTCAGGCAGAGCCAGCAGGTGCAGGTGCACAGGTTGCCCACTGCTCATGCTGGGGGCCTGTGCTCTGCCTGCCACTGTGTGCACCCTGGATCAGAGCTGCGCGTGCCCCAGAAAGTGCGCACAAGACTGAGGCACAGCAGTGGTACAGGGGCAGCCAAATATGCACAGTGACTCTGAAAGGTAATGCATCAGTGGATAGCCAGGGCTTCCAACAGGTCCCAGCCTTGCAGAAGGCTTGAGCAGGGCCAACACTGTAAACAGGTCCTCAGCTTCATTCGCCACCAGGGAGGTATAAATGAAATCACAGATGATACTGAGACACTCTCTTTGAGGATTGCTGTGATTGCACAATACCAAGCATTGCTGAGGACGGGGAGGAACGGACTTTCACACTCCGGCAGGGGTGCGCACTGTCTGGAGGTGCTGGGCAGACGGAGCCCTCACACTCTATCCCACAGCTGCTCTTCCAAGTATCTCACAACAGAAACATGCACGTGTGCAACCCAGGGATATGAACAGGGACATTCGTAACAGCTCCTACCTTCATCATAGCGTGGTTCGTTCATGATAGCTCCTACCTCGAAAGTCCCAAACAGATGAACATTTACTCAAAGGCAAAGTGTATGAACAATTCATATCAGTAGGATGAACCTTGTGGGGGGGGGTCTGGGCACTAGTGATCAGACTCTGACTCCAGTGATAGTACACAGACACATCTCTGCTGTTAGTGGTAGTGTGCAAGTGTTATGAGTAGAAGGGGCTGAGAGGGGCTGCTGGGGAGCTGGTAATATTTATGATCCTGGTGCTGGTTACTCAAGTGTGTTTACTTTGTGAAAATTCATACCATACCCTCATAACTTGGGCTTTTTAAATGTTTCATTTTAATTTCAACTTGAAAAGTATCTTCTAAGGTTTATTTCTTTTGATCTCAGAACCTCACTCCCACCCCTGGCGGTTGCTTCTCTGTAGCTATTCCTCTTCCACTCCTTTCTGGTTGCCAAAGCTCACCTCTTCAGATGGGGCCAGAAAGGCTAGATATTAGATTTCCCAGCTCCCTTTGCAGTTGGTGGAAGCCATGTGACAAGTTTGGGCCAGTAAGACCTAAGGACATATCTACTTAGTGACTCTGGGAAGGTTTTTCACCAGGAAGGAGCCAGTCATGGTGGTGTACACTTGTAATACCAGTACTCTGGGAGAGTGAGGCAAGAGAATCACAAGTTCAAGCCTAGCCTGGGAAGCTTAGTGATTTATTGAGACCTTGTTTCAAATAAAAACATGGGCGATGTAACTGAGTGTGAAGGGCCTGGGTTCAATCCCCAGCACCACTAAATAAGTAATTAATTCATTATAAATACTGGGAAGAGAGAGGAAGCCAAAGAATGGGAAACAGAAAGAGACAGATGCTAATAAACAAATAATGCATAACAGGGCAGGCCTTTGACCCCCCCACCCTGGTTTTTGCCATAAAACATTCTGTTCAAGCAATGTACTATTTTGTCTACACGATGTTTCTACCTGAGGCTTCAAGAATGTACTGTTAACTCCACCCATCTGCCTCAATGAGCATGCTCTCCCAGTAGGAGCCCCCCACACCCCCGTTGATTTCTATGTAAGATTGCTTCCATTTCTGTTTGGGGCTCAGACTTCAGAGAACAAACTCCTCTGAGCCCACTGGTGTAATAAAGCTTCCCTTCATCTCTCCCAGGGCTGCTCTACTTCCTCGCCTCCAGAGACCTTCAGAGAGCTGTAACGCCTGGCTGTGATGCTGAGCTGCGCATCTTGCTGTAGGAATATGAGAGGAAATATCTGATCACTTCCTTCTTTCTTTGAAAACTGTTGTCTGCAGATGTGACGTCTACAACTACAGCAGTCATTCCATAGCAAGTAAGTGAGAAAAAGGCCTCACGGAGGATGCGGAGCCAACAGGAGGAACAGTGTGGGTCTTCAGCAGCATCACTGAGCACATCCCCCATCCTGGAGCCGCCACCCTGTTGCTTTCCTGTTATGTGACACGGGAGATGTTTACTGCTGAAATTGTCTTTAGACCTTGCCCTGCCTGTTCCAAGATCCTCTCCAAGGGAATCCTCTCCAAAAGAACGAAGAACCAACTACCTGTCCAGCAATGTACCCGGGTTGTTAGGGCTGAATCACCCATAGCTCCGGCAGATGGCAGCTACTAAAAGCAATCACAACAACACCTTCAGTATCAGGAATTCTCCAGAACCCATCCAGAGGCAAAGTCAACATTCTCTCCTCCTGAAGCTGGGCGAGGCTTCAAGACGGCCTCCGCCATGTGTGGCAGGAGTCAAACGGCATGAATTCTGATGCTGGATCGTCCAAGGCAACACTTCTGCCCAGCTGTCTGCCCTGGGGAACCAGTACCGTGCTGGAATTCTGAGATGACTGTTGTTTCAATTCTCCCCCTGTGGTAGCAATTTGCTCCTCAAGGATAGATAGCCGCACACTGACTTGAGGGCGATGATTCCTAATGACGGTGACACCAACAGCCACAGTAATGCTCACTGGATGTTCTCTCTGTGGCAGGCCCACAGACGCACCCAAATTACCGTGTGCCATAGGGTTAATATAATCCCCCTCTGCATCCACGGAAACCAAGGAACAGAGAGGCCAAGCATGTTACCCAAAGCCATCCAGCCAGCAGGGGAAAACCCAGGATTTAAATAGTTAAATCTATGACACAAGCCTGAGCTCCTACTGTGCTAATTACAAAGTGTCAGGGGACACAAATCACATGATAATCATGAGGTCATTTCTGGGAATGTCTGTTTCACTTGATATTTTGGGAGTAAAATATTTTTATATATAAAAAGATGTATTTGTGATTTTAAAAATTTGAATGGATTGTTAGAATGAATTGTAGCTTTGATTTTGTGCCAGCTGTGGCCATTCATAGCCCCTGTCCCCCTGACAACTCTTCCTTGTCCCCAAGGGCCACGTGAATCATATGACAATCATGGGTCACATTCACTGGGTGTGGTCCCCATGTGGCCCGTCCCTCTTCTCAACAGAACTGCAGTTGGGTCAACTCCTCCTGGAGGGCCTGCCTTCTGGGGCAGTTTAGTCCCCTCCTACTGCCTGTGACTGGCTTGGGCATTGATCTACAGGATTCCAGGGAAAAGTTTGTCCTTCAAAAGTGACACAAAGCTAGGACATTCCTTTGTTCCCACAGCATGTAGAGGTGTGAGGACTTGAAGACAGAGCAGTGGCAGCCACATTGTGGCTGAGAGGAGCAACCTGCCACTTTGGCTTGGAACTGATGGTCCTGCTGAGTATGCCTGAGTCAGCCATTCTTCATGAAAGGAAATTCCCTCAGATCTATAAATTTCAATGACAAAAACATTTCTTTTCATCTTTATTTTCAAAGCCCAGCCAGATTTCTTTCTTTCTTTTTTTTTTTTTTGTT